ACTTGACAAATGGGGGGGAAAGGGACATGAGTGAGTGCGACATACTCTCCGCCAAAGTCTTTATTAAGATCGTCACCGCGACCGTTGACCTCGTGGACATTTACGTCTGTCCGGTCGCGACCATATTTCACCTAGTGTTGTGTGTTAAAAAACGATTAAAAAAATTCTCCAACTAGGTGAAACAAGAGCAAGAAGATGGAGAGAAAGAACACCTACCGTGATTCCGGATATGTAGTCTTTAGGCTTGAAAAGATGTAGGTACTTGTTGACGAATTTATCATTGAGGACAGCCAAAAGTTGTCGGGCTTTTTGCTTGGCATCGGTTGGATCGCGGGCAATTGATTTAGTCTAAAATCATCGGCATGTCAGTCCGACTTCAAATACATTATACATTCTCGATTAGTCGGATTTTTATCTTACCCACTCGCGGGCGTGATGCGTAACGTCAACATAGTCAAAGTCGATGGCTTGCTTTGTGTTGCTGTCAATGTACTTCACTATTGTATAGTATTAGAATGCCAGAGCTGGACTCTTGACTTTTTCTGACTTTTATACTCACTGCGTTTCAATGCTGTCCTCATTTCTGAGCACCGGATAAGCTCCTCTAGGACGATCTGAGCCTATATAGAATGTCAGTAATACCTTCTAGCGAGCCAAGAAAGATTTATACTCTGATACGTACTATACTCTCCGCCTGGTGGTAGCTTATAACATTCTGTTCAAGAGGAAAGTCCGCAAGGTGTTCGTACCGGTCGAGTAGAGGCCTTTTTATGCTGTTTAGAATAATCCTGTACCGGAGCAATCAAGTGACTTACTTGTATTTATATTTGTGCTCGCAAGCCATTGCCAGAAACGCGTCCACCTTTGATTTGACTTCCCGAAGAGCGCTTTCGGCTGAAGTTCCCTCAATCTTGTCTCCAGAACCTCCATTCATGGCGTTACCCACTGCTCCCTGGTAGAATACGGAAACCTCCATGTTTGAGTTTTTTTGCACTTCATCTATGCTATTCTTCACGGAAGCGGATAACGACCCAGAAACTCCCAAGTACGTCAGCGCTGTCTTGACACTAGGGAATATTAGCGCTAATACTTAGGAACGACTCCTTTGCTTACCTTGCATTCAATTCATTTTTAGTGATGGAACTTGTAGAGGTAAATGATAGTCGGATAATCATTTTGCCACCTTCAGAGAAACCTTTTGAAATGGTTTAGTTTCAAGCCAGCAGTGTGTAAAAGGGAAGAAAGAGCCGAGTATAGTCTAACCTCGAATCCACCGGTTGCCATGGCTTGGAGCAAAGGTTTCATTATTGTAGTTTTCCAGGTTAAAGACATAGTCTCCCGGCAACTGCACCTGCTGGTCAATACTGACGATTGTGAGATATGTCAAAGTGTTGCGCGTCATCTAGCATGCGTTGTTAGCCCTAGCCTTTCTCCATCATTTCGTTGCAGGTTTTAGGACTCCCTTACCTCAGCCTTGTCTAGATAGCTACCTGACACGCTTGCCTCTTGGCCATAGCCTGAGACTGCTGTAGAAGCGTCTATGCCCATCGCCCTTAGGTAGGAGCTGGATTGTTCACCAGTAGTCAGTATAAGCCTTCCAAAAGTTGAGTTTCTATCCAGCACTTACTTGAAATCATTTGTTTCGATTGTGTTTAATTTCGTCTCAACAAGGCAGGTCGACCCACCGTCTCGTTTGAATCGTGCAGTGACTTGCTGCCCGGCTTCATCATCTTCTTCGGCCTCATCCAGTTTGGCCAGGGCACGGTCAATGGCGGAGTCTGGGTCGACAGGCACGAAATATTCCGTAAGGTTCAAGCCGGTCAAGTTCGCCGTAGGCTCCGTAAAGTTGAACATGAGGTGGGCCATAGTATCATTGGTCAGAGCTTCAGGCAAGTCCCTCTGCGTCTTACTTCCACGCAGCTTCACGGCATCGTGCTTCCGGCCTTTACCGAGGAACGTGTTGTAACTGTTAGAGTTTAGCAATTGCTAGATCAAGGGTTGGTTCAAGTTAAATTACCCTTGTCCCACGGTCAATTGACTGAGCTCGTCTGTTGATCTTGCCGAATGCTTCCTGTTTAGTAACTTAGCTTCCTCTCTTGGACATGTAACGCTTTTTTTGCGTTTTTGGGTCAAGTGGCGGGTTGACGAACACTTCTCCGTCGTTCCTGCCGTCACCCGGTACGACTCTTGCAGCTCCCCGATGGACAAGAAGCCCAAGGGCGAGAGACACTTGGAACAGCTTCATTGCAGAAAGCTTTCTGAGTCAAGTATAGCTTTCAATCCTGACAGGACGCTGATTTTGTGGTGAAGATGGCGCCGAAGGAACAGATACAACGTCAAAGAATAGAGTAGCGCTGCTCAGTTATCGGCTGCAGGTGAGCGATGATGCGTTAGGTCTGGAGCTGGCGAGGGAGCTCATTTTATAGATACAGGTCAAGGCAAACGGCATGATTCCAGTTGAAAGGCTCAGTTGGGCCGTTCCAAGGGTGTTTGCGTGATCTCCGTAACAGTACTTGGGCCAAGCCCAGTCTTCTAAAGGTTACCTACGCGCTGAGGCGTTTGGCTGCCCGCTCGCTTTTCCAGCCTTGGGTGGAATTATCTACTCCCTTGTATATAGTAGCGTTTCTTTAACCCTAGCGGCCGTATAAGGCTGATTTTGTTGGCTTAATGGTCAATGCTACACGTGTAGGAGGGTCCGTTTTGATTTAGAATACATCGGTAGTAGCTCCGCACCAAGTTTTTAACCTATCATGTTGAGAAAATACCTCTCAACTTCAACACCAAAGCTAGTATTTCATGATATACCTGCCAGCCCCTGGTAAAGCCAGTCGTGTCAGTGGCAGCAGAATCAGCAGTGGCCAGCCAGTAACTTGGGCCAGTAGAGACGCTATAACACACAGAGTTGCCTGATTTAGCACTGAAACAAAAGGATTCGGGAAACAACCCTGCAAGTGACCTGTGCCTGAACGGTCAGTAGAATACGGATGTGGAATTATTCATTTATCCCCCGCCCATCACGCGTTTAAAATCACAAGCTCACCCCACACTGAATTTGTGAAGTAGGTTAACACCTATTTCGGTCTTTGATAGACCGTAAAAAGTGGCCTCTGCAAAACGCCCGGCACATGTAGGTCGGGTTTACAGCAACACCGAAAGACGGTATTCAGCTTAATACCCCGTACCAGCCGTTGGGGAATTGGCGATAGACGCCCTGCAAATATGCATGGAGATTTCTACCGATACTTTTTTTTTTGTTTTTTTTTTCTTGGTAGCCATACGACAATCGACAGCTGGACAATTTGCCAAAGAAACACTCCAATCTAATAAGTGCCCAGGCCTTGGAAAACTAAAAACTTGAATGTGCCTGCGCTTCTCCACCTCTGCTAATTCTAAAGCAAAGGCGCGGCTAACTAGAAGAAGGCATATTTTGTTCTGGCTCGGACTGGTACTCGGGAACCGGGAAAAAGGCATAGCCGCGGAGAAGGCACGCATGTTCTGACTCGTGCCTAGGTAGGCGGTAAATAAGTATACTTATAAAAGATAGGGAACTTATCGAATAAAGGCGCATCGCCACTTGTTCCAGGGTCTTTTCAAGTCAAGAAATATTTTTCATTTATATAACTAGTTTATTATATTTATAGTGTAAACATTAACAACTAAAAAAGGCTTTATCCGAGCGAGTCATGAAACTCTAGCTGGTTCCAGCAGGGATCGTAAATATACTACAAGGATATGATATTTCTAGAGTCTTTATTGTTACTAGTGATGGTCCAAAAGTCGAACTTTTTTTTTTCTTGTTTATTCTCGGGAGTCGCGATGGCTGTAGCCGTCGCCACCCCCCGAGCTCGGCAAAAAGCACCTTACCCGCTTCATGGCATGATCGGACGAGGTGTGGCGCTCGCTACCGCCGACACGTGGCAACGTCCGTAGCTAAAAGGGCTTCGCGAAGGGGAGAAATGACAGGGGGGAAGCCGTGCATGTATAGCAGTCTACATTGTCACGGTAATTCATTCACTCCTCATTCTACTCCAAGTAATTCTACCCTAGACATTAGCTTAGCTAATAGAAAGGTATGCGTAGCACACTGTGCTTGGTGCAGGTGTAGGCCAATTAGCCTTGACAGGCTCTTCTTACACGCCTTACGAGGCTCACTAGCGGCGCACCGTGGGGGCTATTCGGCAACGGGCCGCGTTCCGGCAGACACCCTCTTTGATCCGGAGATGGCCGTGATTTTGCATTAAACAGGCACGCCGGATGGGGCGTGCCTATTATAGAAAAAGAGGCATGCCGGCTTTGCAGCCAAAGTGAAAACGCAAGGAATTCTCTTGACGATGCAGGAAAGCACAAGGTCCCCGAACTCAATTAATGATTCCGTCTCTATACCTATATCCTACAGCGCATGACGATAGAGTTGGGCTCGATACAACGAACATCCATGACTGCCGCACATGCGCGACTTGTGGACAGTGGACAGACAGGCCAAGTTCGGGTCAAGAGAACCCGGGCCGACACGAGGGTGTCATGTATGGCATTTCATGATATACGTCGAGTCGAGAATATGCCGTATTGTATATGCCTTGAGCTATAACACGCTTTGACTTAGTGTTGAATACGAAAAGTAAAAAGGTATTGCAGCGACAATTGGCTATAGTATCATCTGTCATCTGTCACGTTATGTGAGGCAGTTGGCTTTCATTGATTCTGTTTTTTTTTTCTTTTTTTAAAAGCTTGTCCTTTCCGGAAACTTGACAATCCTGTACTCAAATACTTCTGGAAAACTGCTTCCTGGCATGAAGCACCTGCCTCCTTCCAGAGCGTGGTTGGGCGTCGTCTTCCACGAGGGTACAATCATCCGACAGGCTGCCGTCAGTGTTTTCTGTATCATCTCGAGATTGCCCTTCTGCACTCTCTCGGATCGCTATGCTACGCTATTATTCAACATCTACATGGTAGCTCTTTGCATTGCATAACTGCATTTTGATATGTCACACGTCTGATAGGTTGTTTTTTTTATCTCAACCCAAGCAAGTATGCCGTGGCCATGTGCCGGCTCATTTGATCAAGTTCTTAATTTGATCATGGTAGTCATCAATAGACATGACATCAGTCCTAGGTAGGACTGGCGCCGTTTTGATATACTCCCTGGCTGAGGATTGGATGATTGCGTTAGCAAAGGACATTAAATGTCGAGCATTGAGTAGGGCAAAGGGGAAAAAAGGGATTTCATACCACCCTTGTAGAGCCTTTTCCACTCCCGAACAATAGATTCAAGCTGGATCTCAGCAAAGCTGACGCCGGGGATCTTGGTTTCAAACTTCTCCGCGGTATCGTGCACCTTTTGAATCTCATCTCCCATCAAGTCCCAGCCACCTTTCAGCTTCTCAGCCGTCTCCCTAGCCGGACCGATGAGTGCTTTCAAGTCCTGACATTGTTTCTAAAAAACACATCCGATGTTTTAGCTCCGGGGATCGTTGGTGTCAGGCAACTTCCGGGCGATGGTTGCCGCTTACCGACATTGCAGTGACATGGCCTTGCAGTTGCTGATGCAATGCAATCTTGTCCTTCTCGGAGCTGATCAGGGCCTTCAGGTCCGCAATCTTCTTTTCGTATTTCTCAATATCCGCTTGTCTTTCCGCAAATACGATGGGGGCGGCAATTGTCCCGATGATGGGGCTATGGCCAACTAGGTTAATAGGGGTGGGTGGGAGGACGCACAGAGGATGCTACTTGGTGAGTGGGTGAGCAAGCAAGCTTACATCCAAACGTATGCCGCGGTCATTTTTTGATCATAGCGATCTAGAAAAACCCTCAAGTCAACATCCAAGCAAAGAGTTGAGTCCAAGGTGTGGTCTCTAGACTGACCTGAATCAATGATTTTCTGGTCAGCCGCAATATCGATAAGCTGCGAATCAATCTTCGCCTGCAAGTCGTCAATGTCTCCCAGATCCTCATTGAGAATGGAGGTCATGTTAGTTTCAGAGTCAACGAGCGCACCCTCTCTCTTATCACATGCCAGTTCAAAAACACTCAGGGCATCCGAGACCTTTGTAGCATGGAGCTGCATTGGTGCGATATCACTCAGCAAATCCTCCGTGGCGTCAAGAATGGCTTTCCTGGCCGCCTCCCTCTGCTGGTCAGTTGCGCCATCATCATTGTACTTGCTGCACTGGTCAAACATGAACAAGTAATACGAGCTGTCATCAGCCCCGGCGTTGTCTGCGTAGCCGTAAATCTGAGACGAAAGCGTATTCATCTTGTCAAAGGTGCAGAGGGCATCAAAGGCGCTGTCATCGCCATCCGCTTTTGTCCCCTGTCTGGGTGATTGGGAGCTATCACCAAGGAAACCGACGCAGTCGTTGTAGATCTGGGGGCCAGGTCAGCACAATCAGCTATATAATACTCGGCTGCGCTGGGAAAGCATGAGTTCTAGAAAAGACTCGACTTGCCTCCTTGTAAGTACTGATTAAACTATCAATCTGGGTCCAGATGTGGTCGGTGATGTTGCTCTGGTCCAAGATGCCAACATTTTGGCAGAAACTGTCTTTATCGAGTGGCAAGACTCTTCCACCATGAAGATATCGGTTCAATTTGCCCATGTCCTCGTCGGCAAAAGCAAAGGTGGCACCATCACCATCATCGTCACCATTATCCTTCACGGCACGTCGAGCAGCGCGCGAAGGCGTTTCCACCGTCTGTCCGATAGGGTACCATCTTGTTTCGTCGTCGCCGGAGGTGGACATGTTGGGCTGTGCTTATCTCGCAGGTGTGAATATGAAAGAATGAGGCAAATTGAGGAGTCGTTGATGGAGATGCAGAGGATGCGACACGGTCATTTACTTGGAGAGAACTGGTTATTTATTGTCAGTCCTGGTTCGACTGTACTGTAGCTGTCTGCTTCGGAATTGCATGTGAATGCCGTGGAAGCGTACAGCAAGGCTGGGTTGCAGTATTGGGTCGATCGGCTGGCTGCCTTGTTGCGTTTTGACCTTGGCAACACCATGAAAATGCAAAATATGGTCGATTTCACATGATGGAAAGAATGTGACATGATGTATTTGACTGCATATATGATGTGAGTCTGACATGAGTATTCTATAAGAGAGATGTAGCTACTAGGGGAGTTGTAGGGAAATAAAAACCACGCACCATATGTAGTGTAACCCTCCTACGCAGTAGCATAATGTATTTATTATATATATGATATGTGTTGATTGTATATATGATGTGAGTCTGACATGATTATTCTATAAGAGAGAACTGGCTATTAGGGGAGTTATCGGGAAACCAAAATCACGCACTACATGCAGTGTACCCCTCCTAGCAGTAGCATGATGTATTTATTATATATATGATGTGAGTCTGACATAATTATTCCACGAAAGAGAACTGGCTGTTGGGGAGTTATCGGGAAACAAAAACCACGCACTGCATGCAGTTGTACCCCTCCTAGCAGCAGCATGATAATGTAGCCTGCCAGTAAAAGCATCACCCGGGTTAACCGGTCCTCTCCGATATACAAAGTAAATGATTTCCGCCAATTCATTCGTTTCTACACAAGCCTGGTTCTCATCCAATTGAAGCAGCATGTCTACCAACACACAGCCCAACACTCCCGCGCAATGGCTGAAATTCAGCCAGCTGAAGTCGGTGGACGCCATCCCAAACCACGAGTCCAAGGATGAAGACAACGCAATGGTATGAACCGATGTTGAATCTTCCAAGACTGCTCTAAAAATAAATAATAATAAAAAAAACCCCTTTGCATTGCAGGGACCAAGTTACCGTTCAATCTTTCTAGACGGAACATCCATCCTACAGCAGCTCCCAGGCTACTGTGAGATGTACACGGATATCCTCGCATTGACCGAGCCCGAGATCCAGATGTCGGCCGACGAATTGACCGACCTCGAAATCAATGCCCGGGTAATCACCGCCGACCAGCCCGTCCATCTCAACATGTCGACGCGTGGAGCCAAAAGTTGTGTCATGGTCATCTATGCCGCCGTGCTCGATCAGCCCATCAGCGTTTCGATCCAAGGCAATCAGCGCACGGAGCTGGAGCTGGGAGCAGATTCTGGCCACCTGCAAGCCGAGATCAAGTTTGACGAGGGCCAGCTGAAAGTCTCTTACCGCGACCGGCACGGGGACGACCGCACCCCGGTCTACCAAGCCTTCCTGGACACGGAGCTGCGCGTCGCCCTCGCCGTCTGCTGGTCGTTGCCCGCCGTCGCCATCTCCATCTGCTCGTTTGTGGCAAAGTCGGCGGCCACCGCGGGCTCGCACGCGCTGTCCCAGGCCCAAGCCGTGTCCCTGGGCCAGCAGCTGGCGGCCCGTGCCATGACCGGTCCCGACTCGTACTTTGCTCCGACCCTCACCTTTGACGACTTTGCCGTCACGCTCGAGTCCCAGCGAAAGGCCGCCGAGGCTTTTCAGCACCAATACGAGAACTTTCAGGCCGCCAAAGACCGTGTCGATGACGCCAAGGCGGCCGGGGAAACCCTTTTGGCAACTGTGCAGCACGAAAAGGAAACCAGACTCGATCTGCAGTCGCAGGCCTTGGGTAAGTACCAGGCGGCAGCAGCTACCGTCGACGCCTGTGACAAGCTGCTCAGTGATGATGAAGAAGACCTGAGACATGCAAAAGATTGGTTCGAAACCGGTCTCGACGAGTGGATAAGGAGGCAGACCTTCCTGGCCATCTGCACAATCCTTGGTGCCGTCTTCCGTGAGTGGCTTCCCCGTGTTTTCTCTTCCTATTCTATTGAATACCCGGTCACGAGGCCATGGTCGAACTGACATGTGTGCGTTTGCGCGCGGCCTTTAGAATTTGCGGCCGGAATCTACGCCGTCGGCAAGGGGTCGGGCGACCCAGGCGCGGTCGAAAAAATCGTCGAAGACGTTGAAAAGGCCGAGAAAGCGGCGGGGGCTGCCGAGGATGTCATCCTCGGCTCCAAAGCCTTCAAGCAGCTGTGGGAATATACCAAAGCATTGGGGAAGCTGTATCCTCACATTTCCGATGTCGTCTCTGCCGTGGGCAAAATCGACCGTCTGGGAGATGATGATGAGATTGACATTCCGACCTTGGGCGGCGACGTCTCTGGCTCCGACGGGACCGACGCAGACGCCAGCTTGATCATGAGTCTGGCCGCTTGGGATGAGTGGCAGTTGGACTCGGACCAGCAGATGGAATGGGCCACCTCGCAACAGAATCCCGCCATCGACGGAGCCAGTGAATATCGCTTGACCCTGCGCAAGCATGCCATTCACGGCCGCGCCTTGGCCCAGGCCCAGGCCGAGGCTGTCAAGCAAGGTCAGGAATATGTCCAGGCCACGCTCATTGTGCTCCAAGCCAACCGCGACATCGAGGCCATCGACGGCCTGCTAGCCCACTACGAGGAAGAGAAGGATGCATACGCTCAGGTCGAAGCAAAGTTTTACGATCGATACCTCCAGCTGCAGACCACACTCGCCATTCAGTTGCAATATGCGGTCGATGCCTGTCGATTCTACACCCTGAAAGAACCCGCAGTCATCCTGGACTCGCAGATGTCTGTGGACGATGTAACCAGCTGCATTGCAGATCTGCGGGGTGCGATGCAAGATGTGGATATACAATATGCAAACGGATACACGCGTGGGTAGCATCCAGTCATACTTACTGCCTTTGAATTGGGTTATAGGGTCGCAGCTAATCCGTATGCATCTTCGATTTAGCTACCACTCCTACCACATTTTCTGACGAGGTACGAGTCCTGGCACCATGAAACTATAATGACAGTGTGCAATCCGAGTAAAAAAACTGACGACAACACTTTGTATAGTTGGCATCCGAATTTCCCGAGACGGTCATCGCCGGCCTGAAGAGCAGCGAGAAAGGGTATAGTGCCACATTTACGCTATTGCCCATACCAGGCGCCAACTACGACCCCGGTCCGGAAAACTACGCATACCCCTTTACAGGGGGGTTCCACTATCGGCTGAACGGGCTGGAGCCGCGCTTGATGGGTGTGAAGCCGCTGCCCGCCGCGGTGCACGATGGCCGCGCGCTTGTCAGGTTCCGCATCGAAACCTCGGGTACCTATTCGGATCTCGGCTACGACCCCGACACCAAGGAATCCAAGGTCTGGCATTTCGTCAGCAAGCTCCGGCAGAACCGCTACGTCTACGAGGTTGACGAGTCGGGCGCTTGGCTCCGCGACAGGGAGCGAGCCCAGTACGACGACCACGAGCACGCGCAGCCTCCGCCCTTTACACTCTGGAAGCTCACTCTTGAAAACCCAGAAGACCTGGATTTGAGTACACTGGATAAGCTGGAGCTACACTGGGACGCATTCTACCGGCCAGTCTTTTCATTATGATTTCATGTGTTCGTCCTGTTCTCTGTTGGACCAAGTCAAGATTTCTGGTTACACAAACGCTATCATTTGTGTCTAAGCACCGAAAAAAGTCCCACCTAATCGAATCTTACTATTTATATGCATCCAGAAAATCATTAACTAAGGCAAATAAAATCAGCATCAGGCAGTCAGTCTCTTGTTCCCAAACAGAAAACAGAGTTGGTACATCTCGGGGGCCTTTGACATACCGTCTTGCTCCAGAGTCTTCCATTTCCGCAAAAGGGTCGCTTCTACCAGGCCATCCAGAGGGTTATCATCTGGATCCAGGTGATCCTCGACGTACTTTAGCAGCACGGCTATATCGTCTGCAACAAGGCCTGAAGCTCCTGCTATCAGGGTTAACGGAGGAGGCTCGACTGCCCCACAAGGACATGCCCAACACCTGGAACAGAACAGAACATACCGGCCATCTTTTGCACCTCCTGCAGCGAATCCTGCAAGTCATCGATCATGGCAAAACCTTCGAGCAGAGCCTGATTTTACAAAGTCAAATCATAAGCAGACAAGCCAGCCAACTGCAGCCCACCTGTCAAGAGGTTTGAAGAAACCTACCTTGGTCCAATCCAGAGCATCAAGGTCCATCTGGAGGTGCTCGGGATCGGATATCTCGGCTTTCAACATGTCCGCCAAGGTCGTTCCCTGGAAAGGGGCAGCCAGCTGATGCACCTTGGTCTCGCAATCCTCCGCATCCAGGCTGTAAGCTCGGAGATTCGAGCCCCACGCGGACGCCTGGTCTTTAAGGATGTCGATTTCGTACTTTCGATCCTTGATCTCCTTCTGGACCTTGTCCCGAAGGCTGTCGTTGTCGGGGTCCTGTCTCAATGCCTCCATGTCCTGGAATATCTTGTCTGATTTTTCCCAGCGTTGGGTGAGTTTCAACCGTCTCTTGGGGGGGGTTCAGAGACACAATAACCAAAACGTACCGTAATCGTCTGGCGCGGTAGAACAAAGTTTCAAGGCGGTGCTGCATACAGTATCGGTATAGTTGTACTGTCCCTGTTCAGTCACAAAGACGTGTGTGATTGTCAGTTTGTAGAATGGAAAGCATGTTTGGGGGGGGGGGGGGCTGAGCTGCTCCATTGAACAACAGCAGCGATGCGATTTTTTCAGCGTACATTGAGGTTATTAGCGACTTGCCGGACCTGTCTACCGTTAGTGAGTGAGGGACGGGAGGGGACGGCGTGGACTATGGATCGAGAGGGGACTTGATTCATGCAACTTACCGTCAGGAATTGAATAGGGATCGGCTGCAGATAAGACGCTAGCTGACAAGCTGTTAGCAGGAAGGGAGAGTGGAAAGAGCCTTTTGTCCGTGGAATCTAGATAATACGCAAGTAAATGAAATCATGTCAGAAACAAAAGGGACATACCACCCTGCCATAGGCTTTCTCTTCAAAGCCAGCTTGTTGCATCAGGCTGACATCAGAATCGGGCAGATTCTGATTCCTGATGCAGAGATCCCCCAGTTTCCGAAAGGAAGCAAGCTTGCAAACAAACCCATCATTTACCAGCAGCTCGCGTGGGCTGAGGAAGTCTGCGTCGCGGGGCATTTTCGAGGGGGGTTGTCCTGCCTAGAGATTCTCGAGAGGTGTAGTAGTAGTGTTGTTGTACTAGATTTAGTGATAAAGAAAAAGTTAAAGAGCAACTCTTGGAAAACTAGAAACAAGAGCAGGAGGGTGCCCATACTTATAGCATCTAGGCCCTCGCCAAAGCCCACTAAATGTTGTCACGACGTGCAGAAGATCGTCATGGCGGAGAGGTCCGGACCAGCCGAGCAATGTCCGAGGTGTGTAGCAAAGCACAGCGAGCCGGGGAGGTCAAAAAGCATGCACAAGGCATGTGGTTTGGTTCGAGGCGAACAAGCCACAGCGCTGTCTGTCCGCGCCTTTGTGTAGGAGGCGGCAAGGATTCACCCTCGAAGTGGTGATCAGACCAAGCTCCTGGGTCTCAACTGGATGGAACGTTTATCAAGGCTAAACGGAATGATCAATATAGTATCATCGAGAGTGCAAATCTTCGCTTCACCGCTACGGTATTATATCTAGGGTCTTGCGTCATTACAGCTCAAGGTATACCCTAGAAATACGCAAGTCGATGTGGAGAGCGGTTTTTGATGAAACGTTAGCTAATAATTTGGATGTGTTTCTTTTACCTATAACAGAATGCAGTCAAGGTGTATACTGTCTTCTAATACGCTCTGCTAGCGTAGAGGATAATGTTAGGGTTTATAGAAGGGTAGGGGTTTATAGACACGTCTTACTTAATATCTCTTTTCCTTATATTAGCCCTAAATGCTATATTACTACTATTATAGGTTATTTATATATAAAGCTGATATATATTAAAGCTATAGATTATAAAATTATAATTACTTTCCTTATTATATTTAAGGTAAGTAAATAGATATAAGAGCTATTCTTATATATATAATAAAAGTATAAACTAAATTCTTACTTAGTAGAATATTTTAGATATAGTAAATGATATACTAGCTTTTGAGAGACTAGAATACTTAATGTAATAAATTACCTATAACAAGCCTTAATATAGCTTACTTATAATATATAACTTTACTCTACTTATATTAAAATACTATTTCTTAAAAAGAAACCTAAATTTTTTTTACTAGTTTATATTATAGTATAGCCTTACTTTACTAATTAACGTTTTATATATATAAAGCTTAAGTATTTTATATAATAGTTACTATATTGATATTATGAATATTATATTACTTCTTAGGTTATAAGTATAGCTATTTCGCTATTAAAATAAAATAGAAATTTCTTATATATATACTTAATATTATATAAGACTTAAGAAGAACTAGAAGAAGCTTATAATAGTAAATACTATATATATAAGACTATTAAGTTATATATAATACTAGTTTAACAATATTATCCCTCTAATAGTAAATATATATATTAAATAGAGTTATTAATTATTAATTAAAACTATAATATAAAAGAAATGACTTATATTAAAAATATATTATATTACTATTATTATATGGAAAATTAAAAAATTATATAAATTAAGATATTATTAAAAATAAAAGTAGTACTGCTATTGACCTTTCTATGTAATCTTGCACTGCATTACACTACTACCTAACTTTAACGACCATGCGGTTAAAAATGCCTTGTGACAAATATCAGAGACGCGCAAGATCTAGTCAATCCCTTCCGAGCTCGCGGTTCATGCTAAAAATCTAGTTAAATAAAGCCCTAGTGTACGTGGAGACTGATAGGCTGCCCGTCAAAGGCAGTGCCGAGTCTCTCGCTGCTGAAGCTTTGCGAGCTTTGCGCCGGCAGCACCTTATCCGCAGCCAACCGAGCATGCGCACATTGAAGCGTCTCATGCTCATAATTTTGACAAATATAGGCACAGTACTGTCAGCAATAGCCATGTCAAGGATGCGAAAGGCCGTTCCTACGGTCATGCATTCACAACATCTAGATAGCAGACCGTAATATATAAGAGCTAGGTGAAGTATGCATCCGAAATGGGAGCAGGTTTGCCCTGTCTACCTTCCACCTGTTGGTGCTCTAAAGGCCATCTGTAATCGGATTTTCCTGTTGCGGTTGTGGATGTTTTCGCGGACTGCTTGCAGAAGCAGCTTCCGGACAAAGGTGTCTATATCAGGCCACAAGCCGGCACGTTTCTTTTCCCTTTTCTCGTTGCTCTTCATATTATGAATCGGGTCCTTGAGGGCGACTTCGGATGAAGGATGTAGATGTAACTCAAAATTAGAATCATGAAGACGCAGAACAGGTCAAATTGCTACGTTTGTCATGCGCATGTGACATGACTCGGTTTCCGCAACACACCAACTCGGCTGAGGATCAGGAGTGACAGAGATGATGAGCGACCGTTAGTCTACCTCCATTTATCCAGGCGTATGTATAGAACGGGAAGTCCCTGCCTCTGCATGATCAGGGGCAGACTCAGAAACTTTCTGCAGGTGTTTTTCTGGCCATTATGCCACATCGCGATGACACATTGTCCATTGACGGTCTTGACTGCCGAAGAAGCATAGAACTTACCGCGGTAGACGACCCGAATGATTTCGGATATCAGAGTCTTGGGCAGCGTTGGTATTATTGCGGATGCTGCGTGGAGAGCGTCGCTTGTTCGACAGGCAGAGGCTTCGCACGGGCTGTGAGGCAGCCCAGGTACGTGTCATTACAGCGTCGTCCACCGCAAATGATTGATTGGTATGGTAGGTAAATGTTTCTACGCAATAAAACCCCGGACATGATGGAAGTGCTGACCGCACGAAAAGTTGGCCAATGAGGGCAATAGCAGAGCACTTGAGAGTCATGCCTCTGAACCAGTTGCAAATGCCGTTTGCGAGCCCGTGCTATCTGTAGAGGGTAAAGCTGTGGCGTTTGCGCGGGTCGCAGCAGACCCGGCTCCCGGCCTCTCGCCTCACAAAGTCTTTCCACGAGCTACCAGGCCACCAATTTTCTGACCAGAGAAGTTATGACGTCAATGTATACGAGACGCTACTGCGCTCTAGAAATGGAAAGATTGTGCCCAATTACTGCCTAGGCCGGTTGCAGACTTATATATATAGACCCCTCCCCACGCAGGAGTTCAGAAAATGACCATCCATTATCCTCTTCCTGACACCAGGCAACATGGACATCCAATTCCAGCAGCCATTTACTGAAAGCGTCTACGCAGAGGTGAAGAAGAAGGAAGAAGCAGCGCAGGAAAAGCCCATGAAGCAACCTGCTCCAATGCAGAATGACACCTGTATCTCTGCACCTGGCAAACATCCAGTCCTAGAAGAGCCTCTACTAGATGCAAACTTCAGCTTCAGCGCGAAAAATCTCACTTTCTCTAGCCTAGGAGCGTACTCATTCCTCATGACAAAGCCCCCACGACTCGCCTAGTGCCAGAACTGCTGGTAATTCCACTCGCCCGTGCAGTGTATGGCGACGAAGATATGTAGAACCTGCGGCGTTAGCCATGCCGAGCACGATACTGAAAACTGCCAGATTACTCCGAAATGTGCCAACTGCCACGGCTCTCACCACGCAGACTTCGGGCAGTGCTACGCACGACCCAAGAAAGTTGGGGACACTTACCACAAACTCTCAAGGTCACAGATAACGCACGCCAGGAAACTTGGAACAAACGACTACAGACGACAGAACATGGAAGTGATGGCCCCAGTCACTGGACAACCGGCAAGCGCCCAACGAGGCATGACAAACAGCAACGTAGACGAAGTTGACACGGACATGGCGGACACGTCCGAGGAAGCCGCCCCTACGACACCACAGGATGACTACCTCCCCGCTCTCGGGGAGGACGAAGAAATGGGAGACACAGAACAAGAACAGCCACAGAACAATGCGGCGGTTATTCAAGAATATAACGAACCAGAAAGGACCGAGGAGATACCAGTTAGCCAGGAACAGGTGGAAGGAGGCGGAAACGAAGTTCAAAAACACTAGTTACTTTTTCTAATAGTTTTAACACGTTTTTCTTAGGTAAATTCTCTACTAAGTTATTTCTCCTACTATATATCAATATACTAATCTTCTTTAACTTATTTCCAGGCTATAAGTTCATTAAAAGGACTAAATTTTTCCCATTAGTAGAGATAGATCTATGGTCTAGAAAAGCCGAAATTGACTGACCAGAAGAAACTGCCCAAGTTCCTAAGCCGAGGAATTTCCTGGAAAGACATTTCTCTAGCTCGCATAGACCGAGAGGTGCAATCACAAGCATTACAAACAGCTGGCTAATATCAAACAAACGTCTGCACAGCAGTGCATTATGCAATCTGCATTACAAGAGGATATTAGAGAGACAGGCATGTAGCTGATGCGAGACATTGGCCACGCTCTCGAGACTCTACACTGCGGCGGCTGCACTGCGTGCCACACGTGCATCGTGGCGGCGTCTGTGGAGTGCTCTGGACCGTTTTGCGGCAGTGTATCCCTTTGGCTGTGTTAAAGGAGCAAGCGGGTATTTTGCAAGGGTCATCCAATCACACAATGTTAAAAACCTGTGGTACTTACCCTTAGTAGTAATTTTAACGTAACCATAAAGTACTGTGGCGTACGCCTGTACTGAGAATGACTTTCTCCGTCTCCTACCCTTGTGCATCTCGTGACCTACTTGCTCCTTTAACACAGCCAAAGGGATAGGCCAATATCGTGGCGGATGTGGTGGAGTTGCATTCCGGAGTGCCCGTGTTGTGCGTGCCGGAGGAGAGCTGAAGACTGCAGCCACAACTGGGGCGTCTTGTCACAACCGCTGCGATGCAGCACGTGCGGTACTCGGGCCAAACCCGTGTGGCGCATACTAATTCAGCGAGGGACCTGTCAATGGCGGGGTGCTTGGATATGTGTAGAGCATGCTGCATTGATCACATTCAGCCCGCCCAATACATCTTCAGCTTCATGCAATGTCGTATGCTGCATGATCATATATTGAACTGGGCAAGCCTGCCAGGCTGCGTGACACGGAAGGGTATGGAAATGCACAGAGCTCAGCTTATACCCCGCGCCGTACTTAGTCCATGCTGCAGAATGCCACCAACCTATAAGTTGTATATGCAGCACTACACCGTGGGAGGAGGAATTCGTCAACGCGTCATTCCTACTGGATAAGTCTCATATTGCGATGGTGTCATTGCGGCCTGATTTCAGCCCAAGAACCTCGTCAAAAGATTTCAAGCTCTCTTAGCCTTGGCCGCCGCAGACCAACATGTATATAATGGTCTCATTTCCCACCGTCGTAAGATAGCTCGGCAGAATATCTTTCTACTCGCTCATCTTGAATCATCAGAACATCAAGGCTCATCTTTTCAAACCAAAATCATTATTTCGTCTCATAAAATCCATCATCATGGCTAAGGACACTCTCTTGGAAGTCAGCATCAAGTCGCAGCGCTTTGGGATCTTTCTCAGCCTTGATGGCACTGGCGTCAAGGCTTTCGAAGGCAAAGGATCTGGCGTCGCTGCCGCCCAGACATACGTCGGGTCATGGGAGCGTCTCCAAATCGAGAACCATGCGGATGGTACCTTTTCGATCCTGTCGTCCAACTTTCCAGGCGTTTACCTCCGCCTTGACGGGACCGGTCTGAAGAAGTTCGAAGGAGCCGGCGGCGGTGTAGCCAACACCCAGTTCTATGCCACGCCGCCGGCCCGTGGCTTCGAGCTCTTCAAGTTTCACCCCCAGTCGGATGGCTCCAAGGCTATTGAAAGTGTTGCGTTTCCGGGCGTGTTCCTCCGCATGGACGGTGATGCGAAGAAGCGTCCGGATGGGCTGACTGGTATCGTGAATGGACAGTTCGGCGCTAGATCCTATGAGAAATTTATTGTCACGGTCCTCTAGGTTCTATGAAAGAGCCTGGGGCCTAGACTAGATAGTTTGACCCCATATTACAGTTTATCTTGTTCCAGAGACTGAATAACAATGGTGTAAAGCACCTCATTCCATGTAAATCATTGTCGAGGTGGAGCATGCTTAAGGTCCATCGCTTATCTAGTCTCCGATTGCACATATTGTGGTGCTACAAATTTCGGGAATTTCTGATGATACGACTCTAACGGGATACGACTCTAACGGCGTTTGGGCCGTGGCGGGCTCAAATACCTCAGCTATATGACCGGACACTGGCGCAACTGATTCTGCCTCGGCAGTCACCGGCGCTGCAACCGCCGCTGCCGTCATGCTAGTCGTCTGTGTCAAACAGGTCTCTGCGTATCGCATAGGGCATGCTTTCAAAGTCATCGTATAGCCCAGACAGAGTGTGGCATTTGCTACATGTGGGCTGTGCCCTAGGCCTTTATTGCATTTCAACCACCTCAAACCCGCTTAGCTCCCGCCAGGTGCTGGATTTTAGCCAACTCGTCCAAGCAGCCACCTCGTCAAATCGTCGGCGAGGCTCACGTAATAGCTAAGGACTTCCACAGCGATAAAGATACCACTACGTATAGAATTCTCAAGCTTAAGAGGCTAATCATAGTCTTATAGTTCTTTAAGCTTATAAGTATAAGGCAGCCTATAAGTCTAAGAGAATAAGCTAGTATAATTAGGCATATTATAATATAAAAGACACTTTTACTATTCCTTAACCTTCTATAAGGCCTAATAAGATACCTAACTATAAATAATACTATAAATTAAGCTAGAGATTTTAATTAGTATCTATAGATATTACTTAGCCTAGTTTAATTAAAGTTTAGCTAGTTAACTAAGTAGTAATTACTTAATAGCCTTCTAAGCGTTAAAAAGGTCTAATATTAATTTTTTAAGGTAGCTCTTAAGTAGCGCGTAAATACCTTCTACCTATAAAGTAACTATACTACTAAAATAAGAATATTAATTAACCCATGACTTAGCAAGCTTCTCTTTATAAAGATTAAGCTAAGTTTCCTTTATATAGCTAACCTCACGGACATAACTAGGCATCTACCTACGATATATATATCTACGACCCCCTTTATATATCGTACCTATATATACTAGTACCTTCTACTTAGCCGCCTTATCCTAGCTCTCTAAATATTATCTTATCTAGTTAGACCTAAGCTTAACTACCTTATAAATAAGTTATTATATCTAAAATTATCTACTAACTATTTATTTAGTACTAATTATATTATTCTAAGGTAAATAGTAAGTATAATCATTATATAGTATTAAATACTATATTAGTTAGATCTAACGTAGTTAATAAGCAAGTAACGCAGATAAGTAAGCAGTAC